CCATCTTCGAGATCAAGATTACAACTCGGATCATTACCAGTACTACTACTACTGCTGCTACTGCTACGGGGTTCATAAACTAACCTTGTAACCAGCGCTCCATAACCCATCAACTTCTTAGGAGCTAGAGGAAGGGCTACCCATTGCTTCGAGAACGGATTGCAGACCACGTATGTTCTGCCTAGCTTGATGTACTTCTTATCCGGAAACCCGAGATACGAGATAATTGTTTCGCCATGAAGTCACATAAGAGCAAGTCCTTGATGCAATCCAAGACTTTGAACACAGGCTCTGACTCTTTCAGACATGGGCGGGATGAAGCTCATCGTCAAGACGGATTGTTGTTGCAGGTCGTCCGTGTGAACAAGTGGTTGTTGGACGACGTTGCTCCTGCTCTGATGATGAGAAACGAAACGACGATTGAAGCAAGGGTTGGAGATCAGAGAGTTCCACAACTTGGAGACGGGCTTACAGCGGCAGGGGATCTCGGGTTCGGGAGGCGGATCAGAATCCCGGCGAGGAGGTCGTCTCCGAGTTTGCTGACCGGGGAAGGGTTTGTTTCTGAACAACTTCGATGTCGTCGATTCGTACGGTGTGCCATGGCGGCAACGGCGAATCCAGAACACAGTAGAGCACTGGGCCGCATTTCAATATAATATTATATACCGTAAACAAAAATAATCAATATTTTTAAATTTTAGTATTTCAAATAAAAAAATAATTACCAAATTACCAAAGATAACATACAAGTGACTAATATTTTGATGCGTTACAAAAGATTTAGCTAATATTTTGTATTTCGAAAGGTTTGGCTAATAATTTGGAGAGTCTAAAAGGTTTGACTAATAAATTGTATTTACTCAAAATTAGTTTTCACATATTTCATTGCTTAAAATGTTCTCTCCATGGTAGTCGCTGAAACGGGCAAGGTCAAGACTAGACGAATCAACCCACAAATCAATTTGTTTAGAGGGTTTTCTTATTTCAATGAAACTTTATATACTCTTTTACATTTTAGACTTTTAGGTTTTATTGTTTTTTTTCAAATGAAAATCATTCGGGCTAGAAAGAAAACGAAGAGTCGGGTTGGCCTAGCCCTAGATCCGCCGATGCCTGGCGGCGAAGGGAACTACAACAACGAGAGGGGGGAAGAAAGAAAGCGAAGAGTTCAGGGGAGACTTCAGGCGAAGGGAACTACAACGCTGAGTCGGGGAACTTCAGGGAGACTGCAGGTTCAGGAGTTGGGGTTTTGAAGGAGAGAGAATGTTTCCTGTCGAACGGATGGAATTAATATAGGGGTTTGTTTTAATTTTTAGGGTTAGGCCCGACTATACACAAATAACTAATTCTGTCTCGTAGTTTCAGAAATTGGTATTCTGACTTCAACCAGGCATCATATATACTCGATTGGCCGGACGCGTAGTTTGACCGTCTGGTCAACACCGTTGACTAACGGTTAACAATCCAGCTCACTGCCATGTCATCACCAAAATTATAAAAAAGTACAAATTATTTCTTATTTCCTTTATCTAATAAGATATAAATAATGGTAAAAAATAATAAATCAAACAAAATTAAGAAAATAAGAAAGTAATTTGAATGTTTATATTTTTTTTATTTTGGTGATGACATGGCGGTGAGCTGGACCGTTGACCATCCAAATTGATGATCAAACCACACATCCGGCCAATTGAATCTATATGGTGTAAAATTGAGGCTAGGATAGCAATTTCTGAAATCACGGACCAAAGTTGATTATTTGAGTACAGTTCGGGTCATATTAAGGTATTAACCTAATTTTTAATTAATTTGGGATACAAAATAATTAAAACAAAATGAGGGATAATTGGGTAATTTTCAACTCATTTAACGGCCACTTAATAGATAATTAGATGAAAGGGTAAAATTGTTAAGTTTTAATAATAGAATGATATGTTTGTGAAAAAATTTAGTAGAAGGGTACGTTTGTTGATTTGCAAAAATTGAGAGGTACAAAATACTATTATCCAATTGTAGGGTTAATGCCAAGTTTGGTCACTGGGTTTACTAAAATGCGTCATGTTTAGTCACTGGAAAAAATTAATATAAATTTTGATCACTCAAATTTTTAAAACGGTCCACGTTTAGTCACTCTCTGTTAACTCTATCTGATGTGACAGTCAACCTTAATAGTTGACCGTTAAATATCTGACGAGGCAATTAGAAAATTAATAAAAAAATAAATTTAATTCTATTAATATTTCCACATCATTAAAATAATAAACTAAAATGTATTCTTACCCCCCATATTGTTTCGCAGGTTACACTACATCCTATCCCGATGGAGCTGGAAGATGATGTCCGAGTCTGGCGTTTGTCTCAGTCTGGCGGCTTTACATTGAAGACGGCGTACGAACTGCTAGACAGTGAAGTTGGAAGCAGCGATAGACACCCATTCTGGCGCACGATTTGGAAAACTCCTACGATGCAGCGCGTCCGATCGTTCATGTGGCTGATGGTTCATGACAGGTTGCTGACTAATGCGGAGCGCCACCGACGACACCTGACGGAAGATAGCAGCTGCAAGATTTGCGGCGGACCCAGCGAGACTGCCATGCACGTCGTGCGAGAATGCCCATTTGCGAGAGCAGTGTGGGCGGACTTACTGGATGGCGAGCCCGACAACAGATTTTTCGAGCCGGATATGAAGCGATGGTCTCTTTACTACCTTTCTAGTCGTAGTAATGTGGTTGACCCTACCTTGTTTGCAGGTACGTGTTGGCTACTGTGGAAAAATCGGAATAGCCTCCTATTCGAAGGCGAGCAGAAGACCCATGTACAAATTCAGTTTGACGCAAAGCAGCTCAAGCATCGGATTCACAACGCCTTTGATCAGGAGTCGCGCATTTTCGGAGCCGGGGGACTCCGGGAACGCCGCCTCATTAGCTGGCAACCACCGCAAGTGGGTTGGCTATGTGTGAATACCGATGGCTTGGTTATACAGGCAAACGAGAGCACAACTTGTGGAGGAATCGTGCGAGGGGACGATGGTCGCTTCGTTAAAGCGTTTTCAGCGAACCTTGGAGGGGGTTCTATTACCCGAGCAGAGCTGGCTGGAATTGTGCATGGGTTGAAGCTCGCCTGGGAAGAAGGGGCTAGGAAGGTGATTCTTCAGACAGACTCCAACACGGCAGTCACTCTGATTACTTCTGCAACGACCAACCACCCACATTATACGACTGTTGCTGAGATTCGTCGCTGGTTAGAGAGACCTTGGCAGGTTAAGATTGAACATGTATATCGTGAGGCGAACTTTGTTGCTGATTATTTAGCCTCTCTGGGGCATTCCCTTGCTGTAGGGATGCATGTCTTTGATGTTCCTAGTACTATGTTGCTGTAGTGGCTGTACTTTGATCGGATTGGGGTTCAAACACTCCGGTTGGTTTAATGCATAAAGGTTGGGGCGCCCTTTAAGCGCCCTGTTCTCGACAAAAAAATAATAATAATAATAAACTAAAATAAATAAAACCCTCCGGCCTTTCTTTCCACCTTTCTTCGCGACGGCGGCAGCTAGATGAGGCGAAAGCATTCCGCCGTCGGCGGCGTTCGATCATACCACCATTTCCCATCATTGGCGTGGGCTTATTGAGAGGAACGACGTCCATCTCGTCATCAAATTCGTCATCATCAAAATCATCCTCATCGTCATAATCGGCAGCGAACTTGACCGACTTCTGCTGCTACTAAAGGTGGGGAGGCATATTCTGCGGTTGATTCGGCTCTGCCAGCTGCGGCAGAGGACGGAGAGCGGGGGCAGAGAGAGGGACCGGGAAGCAATGGAAGCATTTTGAGAGATGAAATGAAAAAATAAAAAAATGAAACCAAATTGATGTCCCCTAATCCGGTAAAATCCCTAATCGACAATTCGAACAAGAGTCCAACCTCGCCGCTCCTCTTCTCCAGCAAAGCATCCCAGGGTTGCAGTCTAATCCCCAACCCCCGCCGCTCCTCTTATCCTGCGCACCCCTGCCTCTGGCGACCGACGAGAAGGATAAGATCGAGAACGTGGCAGAGTCTCCCTCCCCTGGTTCGACTGTCCTTCGTCGTCGACCCACCCACCAGAAACCTCAGCGATTCGGTACTTCTTTCTACTGGTACTTCGACTTCAGTCCTTGCGTGGCTTCTCTATTCATTTCGTCGTAATGGTTTGGAGACGGTGGAGGCGAGGGGGACGGAGTGGGAGATGGGATTGTCGTGCCCCGATGACCTACCCCCCTTATCTCATCATCTGATTTCGCCGGAGCTAGTAGTGGCCTTCAATATCTCGCCTGAGCCGTGCCGGATGCAGGTGGACGTCAAGTTGTCAACCGAGGGTGACACTCTTAAATCTGTGCAGGTGCGGCAGCAGCGGAAGGATTTTTTTATTTATTTTAGTTTACTATTTCAATGATGTGGAAATATTAAAAAAGAATTAAATTTATTTTTTATTAATTTTTTAATGGCCACGTCAGACATTTAACGGTCAACTGTTAAGTTTGACTGCCACATCAGATAGAGTTAACGGAGAGTGACTAAACGTGGACCGTTTTAAGAATTTGAGTGTCCAAAATTGATATTAATTTTTTCCAGTGACTAAACATGACTAATTTTACCCTCCAATTGTATATATAGTTTCATTACATCTTGTACTCAAATTAAAATTGTAACTTACTCTAAAAATGAAGTCTTTCGGAACTCCAACATCGACTTAAAATTGTCACATTACTCTCTAGCAATCATAGTAATTGTTTCTAAATTTCAACACTTATCATAAAGTCACATCCGTAATAAATAAATAAAATTAACTATCATCCACATATTGAACCAAAGAATAGATATGACATTCACCAACTCGAAGGATTTTTTAAAGAATTTTCATCATATCTCATAATCCGGTACCAAACAACCATAATTCATAGAATCGCTTTCACGTCTTTCTAAAATTGCAGTCATGGTTAATTTTTCTGAGAGGCAAAATACTAACCTGAAGTTTTTATATAATTTCATCCACATATAACTAAAAATACATTTTAACCAACATATTTATTCTGTTTACGTAAAAGTGGTTAGACATCAACTGCATTTTTTATAATCTGAATGCATTAGTTCTATTCAGCTTATTTTAGCGGGAGATCATTTACCCGAGCTCAGGATTTCACTTCTATGGGAGTTTAATAACAGTCAGTACTTAATCACCCCCAAGCTCTTCAGCCAGGGAAGCACCTCCAGTAATCCGTCCTTCAAGCTTCGAGGATTGTAACCCAGATCGTTTCTTGCCTTTTCACAGGAATATGCCCATTGGTGTCTCAGAACACGCACAGTCTGCAGAAAACAGAACAAAGGAACAGACATTAGAACAGGTTCAAAACGTTATTTGAAGTAGGCATTACAAGGCTGCTGGCATCATACCGGGGGGCTGATTAGAGGCAGCTTTCCTGTGATCCGAGAGACCAGAACCGACACCCATCCATAGACTTCGATGGCCCATAGAGGAATGTTTATCTTTGGCTTGCTTGTTCCTGTGATGACTGCAGCCATATCGAAAACTTGCTTGAACGATGCATTTTCTCCCGTTAGCAAGTATCTTTCGCCAAGCTGGCCTTTCTCCATTGCTGCTATGTGACCTTGCACTACATCATCAACGTGACTGAAAGAACATCTATCTTGCCCAGAACCTATGTATCCAGGTAAACGCCCCTGGAAGCGCTCAATAAGCTGAAACAGAAATGTTTGCCAGGTTCAGAAACGAAAAGGTATACCATAAACTGAATCATCGACTGATCCTGATTTGCTCATCGACACAAGTGCATGTAATTTGATCCACACCATTCTAGTGCATGCTAAATACACGAGAACACCTTCAATTTTATTAAGGGGTTTAGTTCATTGATTGTGGCCTCCAAGGGAGGAAATGTCCACAGAAATAACCTTGGCAGCATACCACCCATTCATACGAGCTCTTCGACTTAGTTCTTCCTCAGAAGAGGATGTTCTTGACTAGTAGAGAAACTCAGAAGAGGCGGCATTGACATTCATTGACTATGCTAGACCACATTGACTAGGCTAAACAACATTGCCAGTTGACTCCAATTTGATTCGAGCCACTCTAATACTTGCTAAATATAGGAGAAAAGCTTCAGTTTTACTAAGGGGTTTGGATGCTGGATTGTGGCCTCCAAGGGAGGAAATGTCCACAGAAATCACATTGGCCATCATTCTCAAATCAATTGTCCCAGCATGCCATTGCCACCCATCCATACCTAGCTCTAATTTGGATTCGACTTAGTTCTTCTACAGAAAAGGATGTTCTTGACTAGCAGAGAGCCTCAGAAGAGGCGGCATTGACATACATTGACTAGGCTAGACCACATTTCCAGTTGAATCCAATTTCAATTCCAAACCCTAATTTCACGCAAATTCTAACCGCAACGTACTAATCACCACAGGAATTCAGCTACCAGAACTTACCAATCTAGCCACGACATTGCCCGTAGTGAGCTTTCCGGGGCCATACACCACACCGGGATAGCACAAGACAATCGGGACACCGTCGGAAGCAGCCTTCAAAGCAACCTTATCCGCGGCGGCTTTCGATCTCTCATACTCGGTGCAGAAGAATTCCTCGGGATGGCGCTGCAAAAAAAATCGCAAACAACAAATTCAAAATCAGGAACGCGTCGAATTGAAATCGGACGGAGAGAAGGAAGATCGAGTGGACACGAACCGCTTCCGATTCAATTCAACTACCTGGTTCTCATCCGCTGTATGACCGTCGGTCGGCCCGAGAGCGAAGAACGACGACGTGTAGATGATCCTCTGCACCGATTCTGTTTCTCCGGCAACTCGCAGCACATTCTTCAATCCTTCTACGTTGACCTACTGAGAAATCATCAGGAAATTCACAATTACCAGTGCCAATCGCAATGTTTTTGTTATCGAGTTCAGAGTTCAACGGAACCTCACCGAGAAGAACTTGGACGGATCCGGGAGCCACGGCTCAACGACGGCGGCGGCGTGGAAGATGACGGTACAGCCGCTGAAGGCGTCAACGAGCGAGCGGTAATCAGTGACATCACCGTAGGCGAATTCGAAGTCAACACCGGCGGGATCGGGGAGGGAGGAAAGGTCGCTGGTGCGACGGACCAAGGCGCGGACGGAGTGGCCTCGTCGCAGAAGGACGTGGCAGAGCCGGCCGCCGAGGTAACCAGAGGCGCCGGTGACGAGTACCTTCATTATATAGGGCCGGGTGGGCGGCGGCTTAGCTAGTCGGTCGTAGTCGTCGGGGCCGAAAAGAAACAGAGAGCTCTTTCCACGTTCCACTTTCCAATTCCGATTGCGCCCGGTCCCGAGTCGTCGATTTCGTTTTCAAGAAGAAAAAAGGTTGGTGAAATGTCGAATTGGCTCCCTTATTTTCTCTAGTTTTATCAATTTGGTACTAATTTTCGTTACTGTATCAATCCCAAAAGGGTTATAAGATGAAATTGCCCTGTAATTCGAAAGTAAGCTACTGTTAACTATTCGAGAGCTTCAAAGCTCTTTATAAGAATGGTTACCGTACTTTGTATCGAGAACGGTGACAGTCATACTGAAAATTCAAACTAAAGATGCATGCTTATACAGTAACAGAACAAGGTGTTGCATAGAATAGAAGCAGTAGCAAGTTTGTGGAAAATTGTTACATATAGAATCATGAAATAAACTGCAGTTTACTTTAACCAGCACCAGCAGATGCCAGACTTTTCACTGTCTCTTAGGCTAGTTTATTCTCACCAGGAAATGGCTTTCAGACACCATCAGTTTATTCTGATCAAGTCCGATCTCATGAAAACAACTCTCTACGCCAGTTTTCTTTCTCTACTGTACACAGGAGACCTGCTCAAGCAAACAGCAGGCACCAATCTATAAACAGGCATAAATATTCTCAACACCCTGGGCTCCCTGGGTACTTATTCCTCCTCTGGATTCATGCCAGTTCTGGATTACAGCTATACCTCTCCCTTCACAACATGGTACAGCAAGTCAGCAACTGCTCATTGTTAGCCATCATTTGTTTTTTTTAGTAGGCTCACAGTCTCGACCGTCGCATGCATTTCATGGGATTAAATGTTGTGTGTCGCCGAGTCGAAGTATAGGGATGTTTGCTCAAGGAAGCAGACGACGACTTTATGTCCCAGTCTTCCACGTACTTAGGAACGCAAACGTCGAACAGTACTTGGCCGAGGACTCCATGAGCATTGATTGTCGGAGGTCCACCACGTACGCGTATCAACCCTTCTTTGCGTTGATCTTGCATTGTCGACCCAACATCTCTACCTTGGTCGTAATACTCTTCCGAGGTTTGCATCAACATATGATCGGCCAGTGGGGCAATGTTTGCTCCTCGAGAGCTTTGGTTCGTTGAGCTCCCTGCTGCTGCTTTCCTTAGGTCGGACATTGGGTCATTTATGTCTTCGTGGGTACCATCTAAGCCCATTCTTTCACCCTCGAGTCGTCGGATTCTTTTGGAGTAAACTGCAGCTGCTTTCCCGAGAAGCTCGGTTATAGCATTCTTGTAGTCAACTGGATGAAGCCGATAATGACCTGCAAAGCAAGCGAATGATGATACTTAGGATTAGGAAGCATGTCAATCAATACAACAGATCATCGAGTCAACTGATACTGATTTGAGGTTTATAGGTAGTCTATCAAAACTAATCCCAGAAGCTATGTGCAAATGACAAAGGATGAGCCATAACAATTTCCATAGGTGGGCGGAATTAGGCGCCAGACAAAGTAGTCATTTGGATCGGAATAGAGTAGACCAAATATAAATGGATTCAGTTATGATACTCAAATCCATAACCTTTTTTATGGGTCATATCTCCTTCTGAATACAAAGAGAAAAGAGGACCAAATCAAAGCCTATCCAATGCGCTTATAATCCGACTCTCATCCTCATTTCCCTTTATTTTCGATTCGGTCTTATTCTGAACCGAGCCATACCAGAATAACTGCAATCATAAATTTTAAACTGTCTTAGGGGTTTCCACTCCCGCACTTCTTTTTTACCCTGAAGAATAAAAGAGAGATGGAAGTGAACCACAATTTCTCCAGTCCCATCAAGATGGAAAGAAATGAATAAGTTAAAAATTATCAGATCACAGTATTGGAAAGATCCCTCAAGTTTCTACTAAGCAGAAGCAATCAAGCAAATACAGTTTTCAAGGCGACTTCATATAGATTTACTCATACAGTGCAGAGTCGTAAGATCGTTCAAAGTTTAGAAACAGACCTACGTGAGGAGAGCCATTCATTGTCACAAGCTTCACATCACCGCCAAGCTCCTGTAGTCTACCGGCAAAATTTCGAATAACAGTGTAGGGAGCAAGGTCGTCTTTTTCTGAGCAAAACAAAAGATATGGAGCCCCAATATTCTGAAATAAAATGATAATCTGAATTAGTAGTGAAGAGAACTAGAGGAAACATGACAGATGAGCGATAAATATGTTTACTTACTACAGAGGAGTACAAGGTCTGCCAATACTCGGCTCGATGAGCTTCAAACCTGCTGAGGAAGAGAGCATCTAGACTATTACTAATACCACTTGCAATCCATGTGAGCATCCGAGGAGGATTTGATGTTTTCAAGACAGATGGGTGAACAACAAATCGTCTCCCCAAATCACTAGTAAAATCCACAGGACATGAATCATAGATATGGCCCGACAGACAGTCTCTAACCAGCCGACAGTCATCCTTCACATGAATATCAGAGCACAATCAGAAACTAATGCACTAGGGGTCATAATGTGGCAGCTCATGACTAGATATCAATACAACTATTAGTTTCAGATCAACTCAGGACCATTGGCCAATAAGAGATATCTACTATAGACATCAAAGGGGTATCACATGGAAATGGAAAGGAACCGTAGTGTTGGAAAAGAAAAATAAAAACAGAATCAGCTAGAAAAAGAAAAGAAACAAAAACAGAAGTGCTTGAAATGACTATCTTACTGGATTCAATTGTGAATCACTCTTTGCCTCAAGAATCTGCACAAAGAAACAGAACATTATTGTCATAATGTACAGAAGAAGTGTGCTCATTCATGAAGAGCATAAGAAATTAGAATGTCTTTGCCATTCTTAATTGAGCAAAAGTCTCAGAGCTTGCCTGAAGAACCTTGTACATGCAAGCTTTCGGACCACCGGAGAAAGGTGCTAAGACCAAAGGGCATGGTCCAGTCTTAAGCTCCTGTGAATTGGAACAAGAAACAGAGCGATTGTTATTATCCATTTCCAAACTACGAATAATTCCTAGTTGATTTCAGAAGCTAATTAAGTACACTGCACGCAAATCTTTTGGATAGCAGATGGAGTAGTATCAACAAATAGGACTACTTGAAGACCTATGACCCTGCTCGCCAACTTAAAATCAAGTTCCACCACCTCATATAGACATGGTATATCCATTAAAAATTTAGTTACAATAGTTAATGAAAATACTAACCCCCCCCCCCCTCTTAAAGACTCAGAAAAAACACAGTTAATGCCAAAACCCAGCATAGAGCTTACCTCAATTAGTTCATTTAGAAGTTCAAATGCTAAACTTTCAGCCTTGTCAGGGAAGAACCTGCACAGAACGAGAATAGCAGGTCATCAGTATTCCTGAATGTGTTGAGTCTATATCAGGCACCACGCTGCATACTCATAAACTACAACCGGACCTTTTAGTACTGCCAGCTTCACAAAACAAAGAAGAATCATCTAGCCCAGAGACAACTAACAAGTTATTGCACTGCTAATGAACAATAAAAGCACCGTCAATTCAGATGGCCAAGATCATGGACCATGATATAAAAGGCCACAAAAGTAAAGCATTCACCCAGCCTTTCAACCACCCCACGAGAAATCGTAGGCATCAGAGGTAAACAAAGGGGTCATTCAAGCCAGCAACCAGAACCCCCGTCCAACAATAGAGCAAGTCAATTCAGCAGCAAACATCTACTAGTCAAAAACATCAATCAGCAAGACCCAGAAGCAACATCATCGCCGCCATCGCAGATGAGGGAGCCACTATCAAAATTGAGGAGAATTCTGAGGGAAAGGAAGGATTGATAACAGAGAAGCTCAACTCACATGTTCAGGAATTGCGAGTGGCAAACGAGAGAATCCCAACCTAGAGAGGAGTAGAGGTCGACATAGCTGTTCACGTGCCTGTCTTGACTGGACATCCAAGCAAAAACCACCACTATCCCTTCCCTCTTAACCCCTCCCCTCCTCCCCCAATAGTACCTTCCCCCAAATCCCAACATCTCTGCTTCTTTGATCTTTCCCCGCCTCAATTCAATTCCGCCGCCTTCGCCTACGCCGGCCAACGATTCCGACAAGCTCGCAGGAAGATGATATATGCGGAGATTAGGGAGCTGCAGAAGGATGCGAGGTTTTTTTTTCAAATCTCCCGTAGCAGATGAGACGAGGTCATCATTATCAATCCTGATATATGTTTCTTCTCCTTCTGCTTCTTCTGGCACTTTGTCTCTATTCTGATTTTTTTTATTACTTTTTTTTTTATTTTTTTAACGCTTTTTCTGGCTATTTATTTTTGACGAGTGATGATGTGATTTTCTCGAACGGGGAAATTACTAAACAAATTGTTATTAGTCAATTAAATATTTAAATTCCTTCTGTAAACGGGATATACCAATTTTTTGGTGATTATGATGAAGTGCCACGTCAATCCACAGCAAGCCGTACCTTAAAATCCCGCCGAAGGTAAAGGTTTTTGCTTGGAGATTATTGAGAAATATACTCCCTACAGGGGCACGAATTTGGGATCGAATGCAAAAGGGAAGTGAGGGATGCCCTTTCTGCGACCTAAGAGAGACACAAGAACACATTTTCCACCACTGTGATTGGGCTCGAAGAGTGTGGAGGTATAGTCCTATGAACTCCTATATCGAGAGGGGGGAAGCTCTTACCTCTGAGGAATGGTTCTGCGAGCTTCAGGAGACAGAATCTGATGAGCAAATGGGGGCGTTCCTGGTAGCGCTGTGGTTTATGTGGGATCAGAGGAACTGCCAACTGTGGAACAAAAAGAAATTAGAGGAGTGGGAGATAACGAGGCGAGCAGAGGAATGGTTAAAAGATTACCTGGAGAAACAGGAGCAGCAGCCAGCGATGGATCTGCCTGGAAATCGGCAAGGGCAGTCACCGATTAATGCGCCTGTGACGATCTCGGTCGATGCTGCATGTATGGCAGGGAGGGGAACTGGATGGGGAGTGGTGATTCGAGAGAAGGAGGGGGGTTTCAGGCTCGCAGCGGTGAAAAGATCGAGGGTTCAATGGAACCCAGAGGAGGCGGAAGCCATGGCTATTGGTTTTGGCTTAGAGCTTGCAGAAAGATTGGGGATCAGGGAAATGGCGATAGTCTCGGATTGTTTGGGGGTGATTCAACAGTTGCGGAAGGAAGAGGATGGAGAGACTGAAGTTGGGCTCGTCTGTGGAGAAATAAAGAAACGGGCCCGTGAGTTGGGGTCAGTGGCTTGGCATTATGTGGGCCGAGAGAGAAATAAGCCTGCTCATGTTATGGCACATATGGATTGTGTTTGGGGGGGTGAAGAGATCTGGGCCGAGAGCCCACCTTATTTTATTGTACCTCTGTTAAGAGAGGATCCTGTGGAACAATTTGGATTGTCGGTTTAATTAATTGAATGAAGGTACCTTTCAAAAAAAAAAAAAAAAAAATCCACAGCAAGCCGTGGCCACACTCTATCTCCCCCGTCTAAGGCTTTGGGGGAAAAGAAAAATGTTCTCTCTCTCCTCTCCCTCTCTAACGGGAAGTTCCTCTGAACCAAACGGTTCCTTTTCCGTCCCCTTCCTTGGGACTGTTCCCGATCAATCTTCCGTCCCCTTCCTTGGGACTGTTCCAGCTCGTTCTGAGAGCATTTTAGCCTTTACCCAATCACCAAGAGAAGATCACAAAGATCTGCTCGACAAGAAAGAAGAAGGATGCCGAAGCACATCAACAACAGGGGAAAAGTGGATGGAGAGGGGACAAGGCAGAGGAAGAACTGGAAAAAGAATAAAGGGAAGGGGGATATGGAAGCCTCCAGACTGGTGGAAATCTTGCCTTCAATGTCAGATAAGAAAGAAGAAGAGAAGAGAGGTACGAAGGGGCAGAGGGGCTAGAGTAGAACTACCGAAAACAGACGCCATCAATAGGGTAAGGAGAGCCGAAAGCATTGAGCCAAGAGCTGCCAAGACAGAGATAGGAAAACAGAGAAGGGTTAGTATCAATCAGCAGGGGAATATTGAATGCTTTGACAAGAAACAGAACCACCTTCAGCAGGGAAAAAGTAAAGAGAGTCCTCCAGGAAATGGCTTTAAAGAGGGTGGGAAGGAAAGAAGAAGGGTATCAGCTTTCCAAAGAAATCCCAAACCAAAAAGTATCCAATTCTCAGAGAAACCTCAATTTTCCCCTGCAACCAATAACCTTCTGTTATACCCTGAAACCAACAAAAGCCCTCTGTTTTCCTCTACAAACACCCAAAGCAAAAAACCCTCAAGCAACATGGACATCAACAACAACAGAGGCCCAAGCAGGACCAGAGAAGAGAACAGACTCACCTCTTCATCCTCAAGAATCAGAGGCGATCGCCCGGTGCTCACTTCCACAGGAGGCAGAGGCATCTCCATGATGCTGGGGAAAATGCTGACCGAGAGCAGGGTTGCTTTGGCGAAGGCGGCAGGAGCGGCAAGATACGCCTGGGGGGATATGGAGAGGTAAACGTGCAACCTACAGAAACACAAAACCTCTTCATATTCACCTTCACCAATGAAGAAATCAGAGAAAGAATATGGAGGGACAGACCTTGGAGCTTGTCGAATACGCTAACAGCCATGGAGAAATACAACGGAAGGGGGAAACCGGAAGAAGTTCCCATCGAGAAGGTGGCCATGTGGGTGCAAATTCACGGGATGCACCAAAACCAGAGGAGCGAGCAGAATATGGTGGCGATTGGCACTCACTACTTTCAGGGGCTCTTAGACCTGGATAGAACAAGTTTGGAATTCTCGGGATACAGAAAGTTCCTTCGGATTCTGGTAGAGGTCAATCTCAATGAGCCAGTCCCGATCGGTTTTGACTTCCCGTTTACAGACGAAAGCACCGGAGTCGATCACTGTGACGTGATAGACTTCAAGTACGAAAGGCTTGTTGAGTTATGCTACTATTGTGGAAGAATAGGCCACAACTGGCCAACGTGTTGGAGAATGAACGAGGAGAGGAGGAGGAATGGAGTAGCTCACCTCTCAGACATATACAACTCGTCACTCAAGGCAGGAATCGAATCTCCCCACAGGCACCAGGCGGCAAATTACAGAAGCAGCAGGGAGGGGGAGGGCTCACACAGTTCGTCGGCAAATTACAGAAGTAACAGGGAGGGGGAAGGCTCACACAGTTCGTCGGCGGGAAGAGAGGCGGCGAGATCGGGAGCCCAGAGCAGATTGGGGGAGGAAGCGGGAAGGGCACTGTCGATTGAGGGGGGAAGGTTTTCTGAAGGGAACCAACAAATCCCGCCTGGTTTTACGGTTAGAAGGGTGCAGCAGGAAGTACAGGGAGAGGAGGAGCAGGTGTCTCAGGGGAGATGGAGAGGGAGGTATCGTGATGAGATGGGAGCTACGAATCTGAATGATGAGATGGAAAGGGCGGCGGCGGCGATGGAGTTGGGAATGAGGCTGGAGGAAGAAAGGGCGGCCGGTGAATGGGGGCGGCCAACAGCAGAAGTGGAGACTAACTTGTCTCTTGGGCCTACCCAACAAACCCTCCCAGCCCATACCCATGTCCAAGCAGGCCTAGTTGATGTGGCCAACTATCAACACATACAAGAGGGAAGGGAAGAAGAGGCAGGCCGAGCCCAGAAAAAAAGAAAAGGAATGGGCCTAGCGGGTGGGGACAGGCTCAGGGCCGAAAAAAGTCAAGAGGAGGGCTTATACTTAGGGCCTGTTGGGGAGTTTGAAAGGGGAGGGTGTGGGGAAGGCACAAGGAAAAAAATCTTGAAGGGAAAGCATCTGCACCCGGGCAGTTCAAAGGACAAAAATCATGAAAATGATCAGGAGGGTCGAGGGAAGAAGAACAAGGCAGCGGTGGTTCGCCAGAAGCCACCTCTTCAAAAATGAGCATTGTAAGTTGGAATTGTAGGGGTTTTGGCCCAACCCTTACAAGAAGTTATGCGAAACGTCTTTGTAGACGTTTAGGCCCTTCGATTGTATTCCTCATGGAGACGAGCAAAAATGAGACATTCATGGAGGAGCAAAGAAGAAGTCTCAAAGTTTTCCCCAATAAAGAGTATGTGGAACCGGTCAACTCTTCTAGGGGTTTTGCGCTTTGGTGGAAATCGGGTATTAGTATTAATGTTATTAGTAGTGATAGTTTCTATATGGATTGTAGTATTGATATGGGTAGGAAGTTTTTTTGTACTTTTGTTCATGCACCTTCTACCGCGGCTAGTAGAAGGGAATTTTGGGAGCATCTGAGCTCTCTGCGGAGTAGTAGGGAAGATAACTGGGTGATTGTAGGAGACTTTAACGCAGCTATCTATGAAAGTGAAAAGGAGGGTAGATGTCCTCTTAGATACGAGAATGTGGAACCGTTTAAAAGGTTTATTTTCAACAATGCTCTTATTGATCTAGGGTTTAAAGGAGAACCCTTCACGTGGACCAATAAGCGTATTGGCGAAAACACAACAAGAGTCAGATTGGATCGAGTGTTGTGCTCGACTTCTTGGAGAGTATTATTCGGGGAGGCAACTGTTTTCCATGAAAAGATGGTTGAATCGGACCATTGTCCAATCAGGCTGGAACTCAGTTACAGAGGTAATAGGAGGAGGAAAACTCCATTCAGAGTGGATGAAAGATGGTTGGAGAAGGAAGAATGCAAGGAGATTGTGGTTCGAGCTTGGGACCCGGGAGGGCAATCCTCTAATCAGTTGGCCAAGTGTGAACAAGACCTTAAAGATTGGTCTAAGGATTTCCATAGGAATAGTTTACAAAGGGAGAAGGAAATTCTTGACCGTCTTCACATTCTCCATCGCCCTCCCAGATCTCAGGAGAGAGTTGAAGAAGAAAAAAGCTTGTTGGAGGAATTGGCTAAAATGTGGAGGGATGAAGAGGCCTTCTGGAATCAGTGTTCAAGAGTGAAATGGCTGCAGAAAGGTGATCAGAACAACTCCTTTTTCCATTCCAGCACGATCCATAGAAAGCATAGGAATAGAATTCTTAGACTTAAGGATGATAGAGGAAATTGGGTTGAGGATGAGAATAGGCTTAAAGGTCTGGCCCAGGATTTTCACAAAGACCTTTTTAAGGCTAGAGACCCTACTCCCTTTAACCACCTTCTGGATGGTTTCCCATCAAAGGTCACAACTGAGATGAATGAAGCGCTTTGTGCCCCCGTCACCAGTGAGGAAATTAGGAAAGCGGTTTTTTCTCTGGGGGCAAAGAAGGCCCCAGGCCCAGATGGCTTCTCGGGTAGATTCTACCGAAGATT